CGCCACCCCGGCTATCACGTCGGCCAGCTCAGGCAGGGCTGTTGATACATAGCAGGGAGCCAGGTATATAATCAACAAGCCCACTTGCACCCCTTTCCCCCACTTCACAAAGAGCGACTCCACGCCGTCTATCTGAGGCACAGTGGTCTCCCTTGGACAAAGGTCCTCCCTTATTATGGCCGCTACCCCCCCGCCCCTAACCCGGGTCCTTGGCCGATGGAATGCCTGAAAACCCGGCGGGCAGATGTCAACTAGTGGAACTCCACCTTCTACGCCCAGCCAGGTCTCAGTAATACCTGCCAGGTCCGCGCCCCCCTCCAGAATAAGACAATTAACCCACCACCATTAGAATACCAGAAAGGCACACTGAACCTCAGGTCAAAATTCATGCCACAGGAACAGGAAACAACCTCAAAAGCCCAAGAAGGTATAAAAACCCACCACTCCCTGCTACATGTGGTCAGCTTTCCTAGAGTCACATTTCTGTCTGGCTCTGCTCTTCAATAAACTACAACCTTCTTTCTGAAGCAGTCTCCATTTTGTTTATTCCCGGCTTGGACTGGACCCTGATGAAGATTTTTCTTTCAGCATTACTTTCCCAATCAGCTTCCAATAAGCAAAGTCACTTAATTATGCATGATTCACTTAACAATGGCAGTGATTTGCTGAACCATGGCAAAAAAGCTTGTAAAATCAGGCACAACTTATTTAATGACTGTCTTGCTTAGCAATGGAAATTCTGGTCCCAATTGTGGTCGTAAGTCAAGGACTATCTGTATTTCCAAATAAAGGGTTTCAGAATATAATACTATCCCTTTGAACGTAACAAAGAATGGCACCTTCAGGAAATACATGACATATTGGAACAAGGATTATGCACTTGGCTTTCTTTCAACATCACAGATGCAGGGGAAAATCTACATGCAGTCTAGACAATTTCAAACCTTGCTTGGGTTTATTCATCATGCTAAATTAAATAGTGGAGAATCTGCTACCACTGAAATGTGACTAGCCACTCATTTCATTCTCACAAATGTTCTCAGATTAGACTGAGAAACAGCAAGAGCAGAGAAGCACCTTCCAAGTCAAATCCATAGCTGGCTGAGCTGGATCTTTCCAACCCCAGTTCAACATTCTAACTTGATGTTTCTCAATCTTAGCAACTTTAAAGACTTCAATTTCCAGAATTCCCCAGATAGCATTCTAGCTAAGGAATTCTGGGAGTTGAAGTCCACAAGTCTTACAGTTGCTGAGACAGAACATCACTTTTTTAACTGTTAGGTTACACTATACAGCTCCCTGCTATTGCCGCTTCAGAAACCAAATTGTTCCAGCAGCTTTATCGAAAGATACCAAGATTACTATAGCTTTATATATCACTTGGTTGAGAACTTAGCCCTGTAAAGCAGTTTAACATAATGTAAACAAACCTCCATGTGTTAAATAATACTCTCACAAAGTGATGTAGTATCTGCACGGTAATAGGACGATTTAAGTTCTCCTGCACAACTCATTACTCGGAAGATTGTAGCCAAGCAATTGTTCCTTGTTTAGTGCACAGGATTTGCGAATGCAGCCACTGCTAGCATCTATAGTCCTGTCTGCAAAATTAACTGCAACTGAGTCTGGAGTAAACATTCTGCTTCCAGAACGGATCACATAGCTGCAACATTACTAAGTAGGGCTCGCTGAAATAAGCAACGCACCGAGCTCTTTGCTCTCCGTATGGCTCGAGAGTTAGAGAAACGCGTCGCTTGCGTTTACATTCCAAAGCCCCAATTCCACTGCATCACCACCGAAATCTGCTTGTTTTTTTTAAGGAATACATTGCCGAGACCTCAGGTCACGCCTTGATCAATTGTTTACACACCCAGGATGTCGTCTCCACTGCTAATGAGACACGACTCCGCTAAAGAACGGATTAAGCCGCACCCGCGGAGCGCTGCATTGCCGGGGTCAGAACTCCGAAGGGCGTCGTGCAGCTGGAAAAGGAAGCCCTGCAACCCACCGCCAGGCGCTGCAAGGGAGGGCGCCATGCCGCCCGCCGTACCAGCAGCAGAAGCAGCAGGAACAAGCTCGGGCTCAAGAGGGAAGTGGAGAGGAGTGGACGAAACCAAGTCCACAGCCGGACGGAGGAGGATTGAAAGAGAAACATCCAAGGAATAAACCAACTCTATCAGGCGCAAGAAAACATCACGGGATTGGCTTTAGGAAGAGGAAGCTGCCTGCATATTAAATTAGACTAAACCATTGCGCCTGGAAGTGGGGGGAGAATCTTGTCTAAGATTACAGGACAAAGAAAAGCGACATTCTCATTCGCTTGGTCCTGTCGGAATATTAAATTAGCATACAACGCTAGACAACTCCCCCTTGAAATTAATTGGATATTCCTTATCTGAATAGTAAAGAGACTCTTTTGAGACATGGAGGTACTAGTTGAACACGGGGGGAACTCAACATGGAAAAAAAAGTACTTGGAAGCATACGGGGCCGTAGGGTTTGGTCAGCAGCCCCTTCTACCAAGCCGACCAACGGGTTTTCGTCGTTTCATCCACCCCACTCAAAAGACACCACTTCAAATATTAAAAGTGCAAGAGACAGGCGGGTATTAGCTCCCCCCCCTTTTCGAGCAGACGTGGTTTCTCCCGCTTTGCAATTGGCGAGAAAGCCCGCGAAAACGCGCGGTCAGGTGATCCCATTTGGCGCGGATTTTTTTTTCCTTCTTCTGCTAAACCTGTTTGGGGGAAACGAAGCAAAAGTTCAAGGCGTTCGAGGAGGAGCGGGCTAGTTTGCTGGAAGTTCTCGCGGTGGCCTTTGGGCGCAGTTACTAGAGGTAGTTGATGAACCGCAGTTGATTACTGGCATTCTTTGTAGTGCGGCGCTCCCCGTTACCTGTAGTTTCCCTTCCTCTTTCTTTTAGGATTCGCCCAGCCATGTCCTCGCCAGCATCGACTCCGAGTCGCCGAGGCAAAAAACGCTCTAGAGGGGAAACCGCCCCAACTGGCGGGAACGCGAACGCTCCCACCCGTAAGTTGCTGATCCCCGAGCGCTGAGGGAGATGGCTCTGCTCGTCCTTCGTTTCGCCGAATCCCAGTGATCGATTGGATGCGATCTCTTGAATAGTGCAACCCGGGCTAATTGATCGGTCCGAGTTCTGTCGCGCAAGGATTGTGCGTTTGCAAGCGAGGATCTACAACTGTCTTGCTTTCTGTTTTTGTGTGGGTGGCTTGTTTATTACCAGTGTTTCTCAACCTTGACAATTTTAAGGCATGTGGACTTCAACTCCCAGAATTCCACAGCCAGCAATGCTGGCTGTGGAATTCTGGGAGTTGAAGTCCACATGCCTTAAAATTGTCAAGGTTGAGAAACACTGAGATAGGCTATTAACTATTGAGTCCTATCTTCTGGTTGTTTTTGTTCCTGTATCTTCATATTACAGGAGCATTTGGGGGAGCTCACATTGGTAAAAGTTACTAAACTGTTTAAAGATAGTGTAAACATTTTGATTCCTCTCAACCACACTGTGGAGTACCAAGCAGAATGCAGCCTTACCACTTTGCTGTCATTTGAGTATGCTGTTAGATTAAGGAAGGAAAGTATTTTCACTTTCTCTGTGATGCTCTAGAGCAGGGGTAGGCAACCTTGGCTCTTTTATGACTCGTGGACTTCAAGTCCCAGAATTCCTGAGCCAGCTAGGCTCAGGAATTCTGGGAGTTGAAGTCCACGAGTCATAAAAGAGCCGAGGTTGCCTACCCCTGCTCTAGAGTCTAGCACTTTCTCGTACAGATTTTTCTTGAAACTCTTTGGCTTGAAGTTTTATTTACAGTATTTCTTGCTGCAGCTGCTTCTGAATCCCTACGCTCCACTCCGTCACAGCAGAGTCGCCTGGATGACTCTACAGATTTGCAACCAATGCCAACTTCTCCACCAGTTGACCTACAAAGCCCAAATGTTCAGGATGCTCTGTTTTCCAGTCCACCACAAATGCAAAATTCAGGTATCTTTAACATCAGATGATAGTGATTGCATTAAACTATTAGGATTTTTAAAATTATTTGTCAAGTAAATTTGAGATATGTAGTAAATAACTTTCTAACGTACTTTGTTTAACTTTATTTGTAATTGATGCTCTTCTGTCATCAATAAAAATGAATGAAGAATATTAATACAAAGGAAAAGATATACAGTCCTAAATTTGAGGCATCAAATTCATAACACTACAGGTGTTCCTTGTTTCATTCAGTGATCCTTCACACTGAAAGAGCGATAATTACAACTCACTCCTTGGAGTTCTGGCCGTTTGCAATTTCCCTGTGATCCTAGGATCACGATTTCTAACGGTCCCTACTGGCTTCCCACAAAGTTAGTGGGGAAGCTGGCAGGAATTTGGATGTCAGAGTGATGTGAGGTCCTTGCTTAACAACCCACGCTATCCTTGCCTAATGATGGTAACCAGAACTGGTCACGTGACATTGCACTTTACAGCTGTGTTGCTTAGTGATGGCAATTCCAGTTACTGTTCTAAATTGAAGGCTACCTGCATTGGGAAAAATACAGATAGTCCTTGACATACGACTATAATTTATCCCAAAATTTCTGTTGGTAAGCAAGACATTTGTTAAGTAAATTTTCTTGCCACACTTGTTAAGTGAATCACTGCATTTTGTTAAGTTAGTAACACAGTTGTTAAGTGAATCTGGCTTTCCCCTTGACTTTGCTTGTCAGAAGGTCGCAAAAGGATCACATGACCCTGAGACGCTGCAACGGTCATAAATATGAACCAGTTGCCAAGCATCTGAATTTTGATCACTTCAGCATGGGGATTCTGCAATGGTCATAAATGTGAAAAACCGTCATAAATCACTTCTTTCATTGCCATTGGAACTTCAAACAGTCACTAAATGAGCTGTTGTAAGTTGAGGGCTACCTGTAGTCAGTTCAGGGTGCAGTATTATGAGTGCATTAGTGATAGTCAATTATATATTGCTACCCTAGATGTGTATTACAGGGTCTTGGTCTGTAGCTGAAGGAGTCATGTGTCTGGATAGGTTGAAACAAACGGAAGTTTCTATTAGGGTTTATTTTTATCTTGCATGTTTTGTTTTTGTATAGTTAATTGGCATATGGTTATTGATACCTATTAAGTGTCTGTTGACAGTGGAGGATATAAATCTAATAAAATAGCCTTGTATGATTACATAAAGTTTTATATTGGCAGGAAATGAAATAAATCAAGCTTGTGTTTAAAAAATATAACCTATGTTATAAAACTTTTTCTCTAATAGTTCCCATGGATTTTGATATTAGTTCACCTCTGACCTATGGGACACCTAATTCTAGAGTGGAAGGAACACCAAGGAGTGGTGCACGAGGTACTCCAATTAGACAACGGGCTGATCTTGGCTCTGTCCGTAAAACCAGACAGGTGGATCTGCATTCTGATACGGTAGGTTTTTTTCACACATTTCAGGAGGTACACATGTCAACTCTACGTATATTAAAAAAATGTTGAACTGACTGGCATTCTCTTAGATAAATAAATGTAAAACTATCCTTTTGACTTATATTAATAAGTTCCTGTTTTACTTAGCCTGCACCAGGTGATGCGATGGCAAGTGAACACTCTGTTGGACAAAAGCTTGTGATCTGGGGAACAGATGTCAATGTAGCCTCATGTAAAGAAAAGTTCCAGGTAAGTAGTTATATTTCATAATTCGATCTGAAATTGTGGTAACAGACTTGAAGTCTAAACATGCAGTATGAAAAGCTTTTTGCTGAATGCTTCAGGGTATTTATATTTAATTATTATGCTTTTCTTTGTTTACATAAAATTGATAGCCCTTGTGGAGACTTGTTTGAGTTGAGGACCAGCATCAGGATTTTTTATCCTATTGTGATTTTGCTGTACAAGCCCAAGTACTGAAGCCGTATTCTCTTGTTTTCAAATATTCAGAGATTTCTTCAGCGTTTTATTGATCCAACAGCTAAGGAAGAAGAAAACATTGGCTTGGATCTTAATGAACCTTTATACATGCAGAGACTAGAAGAGGTATAATTATAGCATTGTTATTTAAATTAGGCTTGTGTTGGAAGATTTACGTGCTAATTTTCAATGTTTGTTCACCTTGCAGATAAACTTAATTGGGGAACCATTTCTGAATCTAAATTGTGACCATCTAAAATCATTTGATGAAAATCTTTACAGACAGCTGATGTGCTATCCCCAGGTAATAGTCATTTTTAATGAAGGAATAGTCTTAGCCAAAGGTAATTTTAGACAGTTTGGATTTATTGCTTTAAGTAATTTGGATGTTCATTAATGTGCAGGATAAAAATGTTGCAAAAATTATAAGAGTTCTTGTGATTAGGAATTACATAATTGCTTATTTTCATGAACAAGCATTTATTTTGATCTAAAAATGTATTGAATGGTTTGAGTCTTTGCTTAATAATTATTTATTAATGATTTAGAGGCTGCCTAAGTCCAGAACAATTTGGGGGGTTGACATTATTTAAAAATGAAAAAGCCCTATGTGTCCAGAAAAACCACACATTAATATATAGCCACTGTATGAGATATTCCACACACACTCCATGTTTTAAAATAAATATATCAATAATGTAGATTCTGAATCTATCCACTATACTAGTGGTGGCGAACCTATGGCATGCGTGCCAAAGACAGCACTCGGAGCCCTCTCTGTGGGCACACGCACCGTCGCCCCAGCCCCGCCTCCTCCCGTGGCCCCCTTCTCACCAGCAGCCCTCCGGAGGAGAATCGCCCCCGGGCACAGCCCACACAATGCTGTGCAGCCAAGGACATGGTAGCTGGGCAGCGGGAACAAACCCTTGCACCCCATCGCGCGCAGATGATGCTGCAGGACACGAGCGGAGGGCGTGGCCACCATGGCGCTGCTGGGCTGCCTGGGTGATCTGTGGAGGAGGTGGGTGGTCCAGCGGGCACGGCGGAGCGGGGACGGGTGGGGTGGTGGTTTTGGGGCATTCTGTCTCTAAAAGGTTCGCCATCACTGCACTA